AAACCGTAACCATACATGAAAAGAACGCTCAAGTCGGACATCATTTGAAGTCAATTGGGTTAATACTTCGCAAATGGGAGTCATAAATGATGAAATTGTAGAAATTCTAAGAGATAAATGCGAAGGTGATAAATGCGAAGGTGATAAATGCGAAGTGATAAATGCGAAGGGATGCGAAGGGTGTAAGAATGAAGATGCGAAGTATTTCACAGTAGAATGCGAATTGGGGAAGAAAACAGAAGATTTCAAATATTGTCCCTGAAGTTTCGCATTTTTGGAAATCAATACTCAACTTCGCAAATGGAGTCATAAATGATGAAATTGTAGAAATTCTAAAGAGATAAATGCGAAGGTGATAAATGCGAATGCGAGTGATAAATGCGAAGGGATGCGAAGGGTGTAAGAATGAAGATGCGAAGTATTTCACAGTAGAATGCGAATTGGGGAAGAAAACAGAAGATTTCAAATATTGTCCCTGAAGTTTCGCATTTTTGGAAATCAATACTCAACTTCGCAAATGGGAGTCATAAATGATGAAATTGTAGAAATTCTAAAGAGATAAATGCGAAGGTGATAAATGCGAAGGTGATAAATGCGAAGGGATGCGAAGGGTGTAAGAATGAAAATGCGAAGTGCACGAACCCAGGACACGTCCCATCCGACCCGCGTGCCAGCGACACGTCCCATCCGACCCGCGTGCCAGCGACACGTCCCATCCGACCCGCGTGCCAGCGACACGTCCCATCCGACCCGCGAACCCAGGAACCCGTCCCATCAGACCGCGTACCAAGGCTGACCAGCCTCCCTATAAAAGGGCATGCGAAGGCTTCCGAAAAGAGGCTCATTCTCTCTCATTTTTCTTGCGTTTTCCTCATTTTCCGTGCTCGTACTACCCACGAAGCCCTGGTCACTTCGTGCAAGATCTGAAGGTCGATTTTCTCCCGAGAAATCCCGAGATTTCCGAGGAAAAATCCATTTCCCGAGACTAACTCTGCCGTTTTTCCATCTCGCTATCTTCAAGTTGTCAAGTGAGTTCATACCCCTATAATCCACACTTTTAAATGTTTTATGAATATTTTTATATGCTTTTAAGGGGGGGAATACAAGTAAAACACACGATGATTATCGTATGTTATATAAAGTTTCGTTTTATACTTTTTATCAACGGAATCATATGTGATTTATAATCATTATAAAGAAACTTTTGTGTGCAAAATGCATCACGATGATATCATATCTTTCGGTAACTGAAAAGTGTTGTTATTTATATATAAATCAAACACTCCGCGTATACTATATGTATATGTGTCCACCTTTGGTACTACAAACATACGATTATTTTAGTACTACAAACATGCGATTATTTTAGTACTACAAACATGCGATTATTTTAGTACTACAAACATACGATTATTTTGGTACGAAAAACATCAATATTTTGGGATACTTCTTGTTAATAAATCAATCATATGTGATTTATAACTAGTATACAAATAGATTTATTACAAGTTCAACAGTTTCACTAAACATATTACTTCAAATGACTTTCTTAAACGTGTTTACATGATTAAAGCTCGTTATCAAACTGTCTTACATACTGTAAGCTTCCTTTCAAAATCGGTTACAAAGGTGTTTTCAAACAATGGTTTTACGTGTACTTAAACTGTCTTATCAAACAAAATACTTTCAATCATTTTATAAACTGACATCAAGTCACAAATCTTTATTAGACTTTTCAACGGTTTTACAAAACTTCTTTATGCTTTTATATTATAAATTGCATGCCTCTATATGTATAGTTATATAAGAAATGTTTAAAAGACTTAGAAAGGCTATCCACCCTATTTCCTTTTCGCGCCTTGAGATGTGGTCTGGTGGGATATTGGGTATTCGTCCGAAAGTCGTTTAAATATTAGTTATATATCATGTATACATATATGGTCATAAATGTTCCCTCAGTAATTTAGCTCCGATACAAATAGATAACAATAGTGTATAAACCTACTTGGTCGCTCATCAATTACATTCTAGTAAACTATTATAGGAATAGTTTAAAGTAAGCAAAACATGTTCACTACTACAAGAAATTACACCAGAGTCAGTTCATTCATGAGTCCAAACTACATGTTATATGAAGGAATTCTCTTACTTGAATACTTATACATGAATACTTGTACATGAATACTCTTACTTGAATACTTATACATGAATACTTTTACATAGACATTATATGGCAATTTAATATTACATGTTATATGTCTAGATATGGTTATATCGTTCGCCTTTCTATCCTTACCTTGTGATTCAATCACAACATCGACGAGGAAGACTGGGACTTTATCTCCTAGTACCACATCATACTTTGAGGGACTAACCATTCCGAAAACCACTGCTAGCTACAGAGGTAAATGAACAATCTACGGATGTTCTAGGTTGATACCATCGTGGGTATACATAAGGGACTAACTATTCCTACACCCGGCTGTTAGCAACAGAGGTAAATGAGCACTCTACGGATGTTCTAAGTTGATACCATTTCAGGTATACTACAGGGCTCCTAATATGAGATAAACAAGGAAAAACCATCACATTTTCAAAGAGATACGTACTGTCAAAATAGTCAGGTCTAGGTAAAAGACTACTTTCATACTAGTAGGAAATATGGGATTTTCTAGAGCTTTTCATACTTATACTAAATGTTTCATCATTCATTTACTAGTCTTTCATATCAACTAATCAAAGTAATGACATTAAATACTTATGAACTCACCAGCTTAAATGCTGATAAACTCTTTCAAAATAACTTGTATTCTCAGGTTACAAATAAACAGGTGTCAATACAAGGTTTAGAGAAGATGGAGCACTCAAGACTCGTCTTTTATTTTGATAAGTTATTATCATATCTTGTACAATGAAAGAAACCACTTGTAATTAAAATGTTTATATTTAATGCAATGGATGATGTTGTTTGCTTATTTACAATTACTGTGTTGTGATACTACACATGACGTCCTCCGCCCCAGAATGTTTCCGCCATTCTTGGTTTTGGGGTGTGACAGATTGGTATCAGAGCATTGTTTATAGTGAATTAAGTATATCAACCCATAAAAGATATACTAACTATAAATACATAAGGGATTAAAAATACTCTGACCAAGAGTCTATACTTTAAATAGTAAAATATTTAAGTAGGTATACGTGCTGCATTCATACTAAAATCAGTGTCACTAGGACAATACAAAAGAATTACGATTGTTGGACAACACAAGTGGGCTTAGAGACATATGGTCAAAACTGGGAAGATATAGCCTGATCGCCTATATTATCCGAGAGTTGACTAGCATGTGCCTAAGTTTAAGTGTGTGGTTGCAACAATGCTAAAATCTTACCAACCCTACCACAAAGAGAACAATAGAACCTAACAATAAATTTAAAAATACTATAGGTGTATTTTGGTGTTACTATGATTACTTTATACTTGAGAATTAAAACGGGATCTTCATTACTAAATTGATAGTTGCTAAGTGGATACACTAAGGCTGCATGTAATTAGGATGTTATAGACTTAGAATCTATGATAATTTTGCCTTACCCCTATTCTGTGTGAATTTGGAATTAAGGTTACTTATTCGAAGGTCTATCATATTTAGATTACACATAGCTGGTATGCACTTCACAAATAGCGATGTAACTGATGAAGGTTTTCTACATAATTATCTAGATAGTTCGTCTAATAATTTTCCACTTACCCTAAATTCT